ACGTCTGGTTCAAAAGCTGATATGTGTGATGTAAAAGTACACCTGAGGTTATAGCTAATCATTAACGATACAAAGGTAGGTCACAAAAAGTTCCACAAAACTTACACCGTAAAACAGACTCTTTTTCACTGATTGCCATTCATAGTTCATTCATTGTAAATTAAACGAATCTCCAGATAATGAATTGTAACAGATATGTCAATCATTTTTTTATATTGCCATTTAGAATTATAGGAGCAACTTATTGAGTGCACCAATTTACCAGACCATCTCATTTCTTTCTGTACAAGACCGACCAACAAGGTAAATGAGCCAAGAATATTTCAAAGCAAAATTAACAAGCTTCAGTGACTTTGTTTAAAATACAACCTGCAACTTAAAAGAGAAGCTTAAAATAAATTTTTCACATGTGATGAGAAATGGCCAATGATGGCAAAACAACAAATAATGGGCACGATAACCAAACATTAAAACAGAACAAAGTCAGGCACAAGTAATCTTGACCTTTGACCTTGAAAACAAAAGTATCAATAGAAGTAACCTTTCCACCTGATAGTTTATTTTGTGGAGTCTATCTACAGTTGACAGTAATCGATAGAGTCTTGATGCCTCCTGAAAGCCTCAATCTCAACTGGACACGAGCCAAGCTAGACGGGAACAACATAAGAATGTAGGATGTTTGTCCAATTTCTTTGTGATTTACACAGACCACAGTGTGATTGATTTGAATCAAGAAATGCTGAAAGTGCGGCATGAAATCTGTGCCAGATAATGTTCTGAAAATACTCTGTATATATACCATTTGTTGTATCACTTTCTAACTCGTTAAACAAGTCAAATTGACAAATTAAAGAAAATGTACAAAATCTAGAAGTTGCTCACTTTTATCATTTTGACAAATATTTCTGAAACTACATTTTGAAAGGAAGACTACAGTGTCCACAGCCCAATCTCAAATGTTACAAATGATTCTGTATTATATTGAAAATGTTCATTTATAATAAAACATTTGTGGGAAAAAGTAGCCATTCATGGATATCTGTCTCCAATTAGTTCACTTGTTGTCACCAGCATTTGGATAACGGAGAGGTTGAAGTTTCAGCAGAAATTAAAGCTCTAACTTAAATGGTTTTCACCTATGGTTGTTTAGATAGAGAGGCAAGCTAGTAAACAAAACTCTATTGAAGCGGAAACTCCACCCCCAAGGCAGTGTCTTGGATCACTCTATCTTGTATCATTCTACCCTTGTCTAGTATGCTGCACTGGAGTCCTACAATGTCGCCCACACATACCAACTGACCCACATACTTCAATCAACTTTAAAACTCTCTCTAAAGTTTAAGCTAAACACCAATGAAACAATCGCAATGTAGGGACCTGATCACCAGAATATCTGAAAATATCTCACTATCCATTGATAGGTCTCAACCCAGATTGTCACCTCTGACACTGTAGGTCAACAGATCAAACATGTGTGTTAGATAGTGACTTCTGTTTCCCATGTGTGTCAATGAGAGGTTTATAGCAGTGTATGGCCTTTGTCAGCCTGCTGTCTCAAACTACTTGACAAGGTTTTCATTTGACCTTTGACCTCTGGTGCACAGTCCCAATAAACCCACAATTACAGGTATATGTAGGGCCCTTGTTTTCCCTAGACTCACTTCCGATTTACACAGACATAAATGTACATATGGTACAACACAAACTCCACTTCCCATGATACATTAATGATCCCTATATGGGTTTAGTGCCCGACACTTTTTTCCCTTAATGATCCTGTAGGCGTTTGAAGGAAATGTCAGGCTACCAACTCAGGATTGTGCACATCCAGCAAAAGCTTCTGGGGATATGACAAATTGTCCTCAGCTTTATTATAATCACAGACATTAAAACAGAATCTAGTCAAAACTAATTGACAGTTTTTATCCAAATATGCATCAAACTGTTGTCACTGTCTGGTATCAGAACAAGCACTAACTAGATTCAGACTAATAGCTCCCTGTATATGTAACAAACTTTCAGATGACTCTAACACTATCAAGGTCAAATGACAACCACAAATATGACTTATCATTACATTTAAACCAGATAACAGGCAAGATGATGACACATTTTCTCATCTGTTTCCTATCTTTTCCCTGTTACTTTTCAACTTGTTTTCTTTCTATGAATTTACAAGATTTTTTCATGAGAGTTTTGGTATTCTCCTCACCATCATCATCATCACTTTTTTAAAACTTGAATTCTTTGCTTCTGTAAATTTACATTATTTTTCAAACCATCATGTAGCTGTCATGACTCATGTCCATGTGACTTTTTAACATTTCATATTCCTAAGGTATTCACTTATAATAAACCTTCTGTGTCGGAGAGTCATGTGATTAGTTATCCCATCGGACAACAAGGCCTGTTTCCGCCTTGGTCCGACACCCTAAGCAGACAGTATGTCTATGGCGCACTCAGTAGGAACAAGTATCTTAAACTCAGACCTAGGGAGATCACTTACAGAGCCATGTAGAAACATCACACACCTCTTGTAATATACAGAATCGAATGGTCAGCCCACCCCTACAGGTCATTTCAAGCTAATAGAAAACAAAAGACACCTGACCTAAGAACAACACTAATGGTCAAGAAAAGTGTAAACAAAAATAGATCCATACCTGGACATAGAGGTAGCGGTAACTGTACTTATTTTTCACATAACATAGAAATGATTAATTCTCTGTTGGAAAATGGAGTCTGTCTTTAATCTCACCTTGACAGGATTTCTGTCATAGATATGACATAAGTACTAGACTAGGAATATTACAATACAATAAACAATTTATTTCATTGAAGATAATGTAGGTAAAGATGTACAGGTAGATATAGAATATCTGCAGGTAAAAATCAACAGGTAGAAATCTACAGGTGAGCTGGACAGTAAAGTCCTCCAGCACAACTAACAGATGGTGACATAGACATAGTCGTTTATGGCAGAATACAGGGATTACTTCACAAAGAACAAACAATCATTACAATGGTCAAATCACCTGTAGGATACCAGGCCATGCATTAGACAAGGTCATTAGTGATACCATTAGGCCAGAGAAGTTAGCTGTAGCGGCCAAACAACTAAGTACAGATGATGGGAAACACAGGTAGAGGTCCAGATATTACGCACAGGTAATTAGAACTAATGACAGGTATTTGTATACTAGCATGCTCCACAGACATGTCCCACTGATGTCAGGTCTGACCAGGTAAACAGGTACACAACTTCTACATTACATATTGTCATTAATGACAAGCCAGCATAACATCCTCCAATTAAACAACCATTCTAATCTAATACATTTTGCCTATTACCTTGACCCCTGTCCTAGTCATTGTCCAGTGGACTTATATCCAGGTCATTACCTCAGTAGAGAGTCCATCACACCAATAAAACTTGGCAATAACCAATTACACTAAAGCCATAAAGTGGTCAGCTTTATCGACAGGAAGTATAGAGCATAAACCACACCTGGATTTACTAACGTCTCATCGTGTTCCAAGTGCAAATTTTGAATTTTTGATTGCCAGATGTCCACTTCATTGGAAAGTGGATTTAAATTACTGATTGCTCTCTCAGACCACCTCCAGTTTGTATAGAATTTAGAGAAACAGGATATTGTCCTACAACTTGACTGATAAACACCAATCTCGTACTAGCACATGTATTTGTCATATGAAGGGCTGAGGTTGACAAACTGGACCATAACAAATCCTGTTACTTTCCCTTTATCTGACTCATCAGTATGGTTGTCCTCTGACTGACTCAACACCTTAGTAACACCCAATGATTAGGACAGGTAAAAAAAGCCCTGACTGACTCATCACCATAGTAACACCTAATGATTAGGACAGGTAAAATAAGCCTTTAATGTTACCTTGACTGACTAATCACTGAAGTCATATTTAAATCCTAAGGACAGGTAAAATAAGCCCTTTATGTTTCCCTGCATATTCATCACCATAGTAACACCCAAACTCATCACCATAGTAACACCCAATCAATAGGACAGGTCAAATAAGCCCTTTATGTTTCCCTGCATATTCATCACTATAGTAAAACCCAAACTCATCACCATAGTAACACCCAATCAATAGGACAGGTCAAATAAGCCCTTTATGTTTCCCTGCTCGACTCATCACCATAGTAACATCCAATCATTAAGACAGGTTACACTTGCCCTTAATGTTCCCTTAATTTGTTACCATGACAACACAATAACAGGACATCTAGGTGATTGATAGATCCCTTACATTCCTGTCCTTCACAAACATAAGCTCTTACATCTTATAAAAGACATTAATGGCCATGAATGACCTCCAAAGGTCAAACACATCAAAACACCTTTACAAGTCACAAAAATCTCTACCTGCATTTAGTTCTACAGCATGAATTAATGGGTTTCACTAGAAAACCATCAACCAACTGAATTGCAGTCAAGTACATGAAACAGGTTATAAATTTGTCCTCAACCAAATGGCATTTGATTCCAAACAGGTACTACCAATGCATTACAAATGTCAGACTTCATTCTACATCAATTCTCATCAGCTATCTCTTGTTTAAACATTATATCTTAACATAAATTAAACAGGACCTTATATACTCCATGACATTTTCTGTGAAAAAAGGAATAACTAAAGATTCTAAAACCAGCAAACACCATCAACTGCTCACAAAGATCAGAGCCATTATGACTATAGAAGCCTATGCCAAACTGTTATCTCTGCCAGACATAAAATTGTATAAAACCTAAAAACTCCAATACATCACTGGTTTTCTGTATTGTGTTTTTCTTACACCGAGATTGCTGAACGATTAATTCAAGCTGACGGATGGTATATAGAGACAGTATGATAAAAATAACAAACTCTCCTCAATCTTACTGGTGCATTACAGAATGTTCCTTCAAAAACATTTAAAACAACTTCTGAGGTGTTGCCATGGTTAAAAAGATTCTTACCTTGCCAAAATTACCAAAATAATTTTTGACATCTTCCACTGTGGTAGCAGCAGACAGCCCTCCAACAAAGATTTTCTTAGTTCTGGTAACCATCTGGAAAAAAGAAATAAAAAAGACTATAAAAACAGTTGTATATATTAAGGCCATTAACATGAAATCTCCATAGACACTTCTCAGGATAAGCACTCAATGCTTTAGAGTCAAATGGTTTGTCTAAGAACAGGGGAGAGGGGAAGTTTAATTACATTTCAACATCCTTAATTAAGATAATTTTTTTTAAATGCACCAGGATGAGATGTGTAATGAAAAGTTAAAAATGATTTATTACTAAAATGAATTCTTCTTCACCAACAGCAAACAAGTTAATGTGAAACCCTTGTATAAATGGTATATGTATATATTGGTACAACAACCAGCACGTAAATGTTGTAACAATTGTTATAGATAACTGTCTTTTATTGTAAAAGAAGGGAATCTTTATCTAAAGCAGATCATCACATAAAAGACTCAAGATTTATCCTTCAAAAAGCCATCCTTCCAACCTCCTTGGTTTTATTCTGCTTTTTTATCCTATTATCAAAATTTTACCTGCATTAAAACACATTTCCTACAATGTTTCATATGAGAATATGTAAAATCTTAATTCACCTTTACAGCATGCGATTCCCATCAATTATATCCACAGAAGATACAATTCATATGTCTGGATACAAGTATTTCCAGAGAAAGACGACATGATAAAGTAAATACAGATACACAGACAACTGTAGTCGATAAATAGATCAGGAAAGACCGCAGTCATCACTATTTGTCCGTTACAAACCTTTTCTTTCTTCCTTTCTTCAGACAATACCTAGTGTTAATACAATCACTGACTATTGTACCTGTCCTTGTTAAGAAAGGCTGTCACTTGTGAATCTCATCTACAATATGTTAGTACCTAACCTCTACCTCACCTCCCTCCTCCCTATTAGTTGACTCAACCCTTTACAGTCTTGGATGCAGCCAAGAGGTATCTTGGGGGTTAAATTGTATAAATTTCCATTTATAATACTAGAGCCTTTTGATCATGCATATGAAAATATGACCAGTTGGCACATAAGACTTTGACAAGCTAGGGATGCATATAGGTATATTATATACAGACTGGTGTGAAACACACCTCCATTTGATGATCAATAGAAATAAGCCTTATTACCATAAATAACCAGAAAACAACACACCTACATAGTCTGGGGTGAATTAAAAAGCAGTATTACCAGAAATAACCAGAAAACAACACACCATCATAGTCTGGTGTGAATCAAAAAGCAGTATTACCATAAATAACCAGAAAACAACACACCCACATAGTCTGGTGTGAATCAAAAAGCAGTATTACCATAAATAACCAGAAAACAACACACCATCATAGTCTGGTGTGAATCAAAAAGCAGTATTACCAGAAATAACCAGAAAACAACACACCATCATAGTCTGGTGTGAATCAAAAAGCAGTATTACCATAAATAACCAGAAAACAACACACCTACATAGTCTGGTGTGAATCAAAAAGCAGTATTACCATAAATAACCAGAAAACAACACACCTACATAGTCTGGTGTGAAACAATAAGCCTTATTACCATAAATAACCAGAAAACAACACACCTACATAGTCTGGTGTGAAACAATAAACCTTATACCATAAATAACCAGAAAACAACACACCTACATAGTCTGGTGTGAAACAATAAGCCTTATTACCATAAATAACCAGAAAACAATACACCTGAACAGACTAATGTGAATCAAAAAGCCTTATTACCATAATTACATATATGTATCCTGAAAGCACACCTAAATTTATAACAAAGAACTTTCGAGTGATTGCAAGAAATATGAAAAGGCCATATTGGTGTTTATCAAATATATGTAGAATTTATTTCTCAACAATCGGTCTATGTAGACATTTATATTCCAATTGTGATACCTATTTACGAAGAAACTCTGCCCCATGCTAAGGTAAAATATCAAAATACATCCAACACCTGGTCAAATTGTTTTTGGAAACATGTCACTTTAAATTAAAACAAAAAAAGAAAATGGGAAGTAATTGAATACTCAACCCCTTTAAATTATCTCACAAACTTCAAAGGTTTCTTTTAGGTACACAAATAAGTAGAGAGATTGTTGTTGAAGGCTAGAGTATAATGATTGTGTGGTCTGTCACAGACTGGAGTCAACTTACACGAGATGAGAGGACATCATTTGGCTGTAACACTTCAATGACTACACAATAATAACACCTCAATTACTAACACCTCTGTTGATAGAAGTTCAAATCTGATCACAAGGACTTTTTGTCACTTAAAATTTAATTTGATTAACACATATTTCTATTATTTTAGTGCAACTTTAGTCTACTGTATTTCATGGTCAGCTGTGGTGCCTTATCACATACCAGACTGTTGGGATTTAGTGACAAAATAGCAAGGCACAAGTAAGATAGATTTGTGGTTCTCAAATCTATACACAAACAATTCCAAATAACCTCTGACACAAGCTAAAACCTCAAACAATGGATGTACACTAAATCACTTCAGACAATGGGTGTACAAAAATTCACTTCAGACAATGGGTGTACACAAATTCACTTCAGACAATGGGTGTACACAAATTCACTTCAGACAATGGGTGTACACAAATTATCCTCAGACAATGGGTGTACACAAATTCACCTTAATGACAACAGGAGTACACCAATTCACCTCAGATAATAGGAGTACACAAATTCACCTCAGACAACAGGAGTACACAAATTCACCTTAATGACAACAGGAGTACACAAATTCACCTTAATGACAACAGGAGTACACAAATTCACCTTTATGACAACAGGACACAAATTCACCTTAATGACAATAGGTACACAAATTCACCTTTATGACAACAGGAGTACACAAATTCACCTTAATGACAACAGGAGTACACAAATTCACCTTTATGACAATGGGTGTACACAAATTCACCTTAATGACAACAGGAGTACACAAATTCACCTTAATGACAACAGGAGTACACAAATTCACCTTAATGACAACAGGAGTACACAAATTCACCTTAATGACAACAGGAGTACACAAATTCACTTTAATGACAACAGGAGTACACAAATTCACCTTAATGACAACAGGAGTACACAAATTCACCTTAATGACAACAGGAGTACACAAATTCACCTTTATGACAACAGGAGTACACAAATTCACCTTAATGACAACAGGAGTACACAAATTCACCTTTATGACAACAGGAGTACACAAATTCACCTTTATGACAAAATTCACCTTTATGACAACAGGAGTACACAAATTCACCTTAATGACAACAGGAGTACACAAATTCACCTTTATGACAACAGGAGTACACAAATTCACCTTAATGACAATAGCAGTACACAAATTCACCTTTATGACAACAGGAGTACACAAATTCACCTTAATGACAACAGGAGTACACAAATTCACCTTTATGACAACTGGAGTACACAAATTCACCTTTATGACAACAGGAGTACACAAATTCACCTTTATGACAACAGGAGTACACAAATTCACCTTAATGACAATAGCAGTACACAAATTCACCTTTATGACAACAGGAGTACACAAATTCACCTTAATGACAACAGGAGTACACAAATTCACCTTAATGACAACAGGAGTACACAAATTCACCTTAATGACAACAGGAGTACACAAATTCACCTTAATGACAACAGGAGTACACAAATTCACCTTAATGACAACAGGAGTACACAAATTCACCTTAATGACAACAGGAGTACACAAATTCACCTTAATGACAACAGGAGTACACAAATTCACCTTAATGACAACAGGAGTACACAAATTCACCTTAATGACAACAGGAGTACACAAATTCACCTTAATGACAATAGCAGTACACAAATTCACCTTAATGACAACAGGAGTACACAAATTCACCTTAATGACAACAGGAGTACACAAATTCACCTTTATGACAACTGGAGTACACAAATTCACCTTTATGACAACAGGAGTACACAAATTCACCTTTATGACAACAGGAGTACACAAATTCACCTTAATGACAATAGCAGTACACAAATTCACCTTTATGACAACAGGAGTACACAAATTCACCTTAATGACAACAGGAGTACACAAATTCACCTTAATGACAACAGGAGTACACAAATTCACCTTAATGACAACAGGAGTACACAAATTCACCTTAATGACAACAGGAGTACACAAATTCACCTTAATGACAACAGGAGTACACAAATTCACCTTAATGACAACAGGAGTACACAAATTCACCTTAATGACAACAGGAGTACACAAATTCACCTTAATGACAACAGGAGTACACAAATTCACCTTAATGACAACAGGAGTACACAAATTCACCTCAGATAATAGGAGTACACAAATTAACCTCTATGACAATGCATGTACTGACATAAGTAATTTTATCGGTATTCCAACCATTACATCGTAAAGAACAGTATATTACCTATAAGTACAGTATAATTATATATGTCACTAAAATCAGGCAAGACTTTGAAATTTGAGAACTTCAATATATATGATAAAGATCTCAGAAAGGTCCCACTGCCTTTTTAAATATTTCCAGTCACCTGGAATCTTACAGGTGAAAAAATCTTAAAATTCTCACCTTACCTAACTTAACGAGTTTGAATCGCGGTAAAATTATCTCTTATATCAAATTTTTTCTCCATGCAAGTTTTCACATAGAAGTAGAAATCAGCTGGAATAGTCAAGCATTGGTAACTGTTAAGGTGGTAGTAAGCTTAGAGACTGCTCACTAATATCGCCACGTAGGTGTTTATAGGATACAAAATAATTAAAAATTCTTTCAGAAGTACATCTAAAATCTCAGATATACTGTCAAACAGTCATTAACATGTCCAAAAGGACAGAATCCAACTGTTATCATTTTAGAGGCTGTATAAAAGATACAAATACTGCTTTTTAGTTCCTCAGAAATAAGGTAATGCTATATTAGGTAATCATTGAAATCTGTTTGGTGTTGAATATGAT